TAACTACTGAAACAATGAGGTTAGTTTAAGCTAGGCCTACTGGGGATCCCGGCTAGGAGTTAGGTTAGAGGACCTGTTTTCCCCACTAAAACCCCGATTTCCCACGGTCTCGGGGGAGGCAAAACTAGCAATTTCAGCCGAGTTTGAAGGTCAAATTCGTTTATAAATACACTGCATAAACATTTTGGTCAACCCTAAAGTAACATTTACCAATGATGCACTATATTATACGGTATATAAAGATAAACTAATGTGATCTGTTACTTACTGTACTGTGTCCGGTTAACACAGCCATACATAATGTTAACTCACCAGGAGGGAGGGAGGACAGTTAACACAGCCATACATAATGTTAACTCACCAGGAGGGAGGGAGGACAGTTAACACAGCCATACATAATGTTAACTCACCAGGAGGGAGGGAGTGAATGTTAACACAGCCATACATATACGTTAACTTCACCAGGAGGAGGGAGACAGTTAACACAGCCATACATAATGTTAACTCACCAGGAGGGAGGGAGAGGACAGTTAACACAGCCATACATAACTCACCAGGAGAGACAACACATTGTTGCCATACATAATGTTAACTCAGGAGGGGAGGGAGGACAGTTAACACAGCCATACATAATGTTAACTCACCAGGAGGGAGGGAGGAAGCCACAAATTAACGTTTACTAACAATAATAAACCAGACGGCCACGTTAGTTGTTGTTGATCTGCTACACCTTGTCCGATTCTTTCTCTTATCTTTCAGTATGTTTTTCTTATAATATCTGCAATAAAAGTATTTTTTTAGTAAATATTATAGAATATAAATAAACTATATCTTAATTATATTTAATATTGATAACATTTCCAAAAATTTAAAATATATAACTATTAAACTAAACTTAAGTCAAAGGCTAGAGAACCAAAACATTTGACAACATTTACAAATTCACTAAAATAAATTTAAACAAAAACATTTCGTGTTTAGCTATTCTAAGTTTATTTAGTAATATTTTATTAATATATAACACTATATATAACTTATATAACACCATAATAAACCCGATATTTTAACTAAACATATTTTACGATAACTATTAGTTTCAAACTATATAATTATTCAGTGGTAATTATAAAAGATAATTAATTATTATATATAAAGTTAATAATGATAAAATACTAATTATTTTATAAACAATTAAATTATTCTTGAATGATGCATCTGTTACACCATTACGTCCTGGGTTCATGTCCTGTTGGCCTGAGACAGGTACATGAGAAGGGTGTTTGAGTACCACTCACTATCATGTCCTGTTGGCCTGAGTGAGGTACATGAGAAGGGTGTTTGAGTACCACTCACTATCATGTCCTGTTGGCCTGAGACAGGTACATGAGAAGGGTGTTTGAGTACCACTCACTATCACGTCTTGTTGGCCTGAGACAGGCAGTACGTGAAGGTGTTTGGTTACCTCACTATCATGTCCTGTTGGCCTGAGAGAGGTACATGAGAAGGGTGTTTGAGTACACTCACTATCATGTCCTGTTGGCCTGAGACAGGTACACATGAGAAGGGTGGTTTGAGTTTCACCTATATGTCCTGTTGGCCTGAGCAGGCACATGAGAAGGGGTGTTGAGTACCACTCACTATCATGTCCTGTTGGCCTGAGACAGGTACATGAGAAGGGTGTTTGAGTACCACTCACTATCATGTCCTGTTGGCCTGAGACACACATGATGGAGTGCTTAAGTGTGTGGGGGTTGAGCTAAGGTACCAGGAGTAGGACAGAGTAGATGGCGGGGCAGACTTCCTCTTATGGCAACAGACATGCATCTTCCCCGATGATGGCAACTGAGCACCCTGCTTGGTAGCTTTATATGCATAAAATTACAATTTAAAAATATTGCTCATAAGGAGACATTTTACAGTTATCACAAATCTAAGGTATGTAAGAAAAAGAAAAGGATGCATCAAACATGAGAGTTTCAAGAGCCATATCACAATTTCTCCAACTGATTTGCAAGTAGTACAGGGACAATATATATGAGCTGTACATTATTTTTCCTGGGATTTACCTTGGATATTGAGTTACACAGCTCACCATGGGTGATGTGTTGGGTCTGCTGTTGTACCTCAAAAAATTTTGACTGCATAGCATTAGGCGCTGCTTCAGCTGCAAGTGGGCCAACCATTTTGCCATTTTTAGAAGTAAATGTTGCAGTTTAATAAAATCACAGCACCTACAATTACATTTTATTCCCATCGTCAGTACAAAGATAATATTCTCTCACCTGTAAAACCTTTGTCACACACAGCACTTGCAATGGGCATGGTGGCACCTACACAACTGCACACACATGAAGAGCCTAGATTTGTGCAATATGTTATCTATCTTCAATGCTAAGACTATTAAAGTGGAGAAAATTGTCTCATAAATTTTCTGGAATAATTTTTTCACTGATATTAGAGTTATGATAAATTTGGAGGCACTTTAATTCTATGGCTGTGTAGGAGACGATGCTGGTCCATCACGCAGCTTATAAAGGAATGGATTTTTCTCTATCTAATTACTGGAAGAAATCTTCTACATCAGAAAAATGATTATATATTTGAAGATTTCTTCGTTGTTCATTGAAGGAACATGATCCCTTGTCCTTTCAAAGTTGGTGACTTGGGTGAAGAGGTAAAAAGACAAAAATGTTTTTAAAATAATATGACTGTGAATAACCATGTCCACAGAACATTTATATTGTGCTTCAAGAAAGATTGAAGAATTTAGCATTATTCACTTAGGTAAATTCAGTAATTATTGTGACACATTTAACTGTTAAGTCTGTTCTGAGTCAAGAATAAAACATCACCAAAGCTATGGCTAGACAAAGGTGTTCAAAAATCAAACAAAAGTGAATTGAAAAATTATGAGCTACCACAATAGCCTTCAAGAACTTAGAAATATTTAAAACTAAAAACATATTTGAAATTACTATATTGATGAGGAACCCAATAATCAGCACTGAATACACTGGTGAATGTTCAATTGGGGTTAAAGAATAGCAAAGATATCCAAATATTTATTTATATATATACTCTTTTTATACTGAGACAAATAAATACATCTTCATTGTTTAAAACAACAGTAGAAAAAATAATAACTAACTTTATTACAAGAGCTATGAGATCAGATAAATCTCTTTATATCTTTGGTATAACGAAGCATACCATTAAAAAATGCAGATTATAAGAAAAGTTGTTTGCACATCGCCATATGGGAGAGTGTTCCAGTATCAGTGTTGTTCCACATCCTTATGTCACATGGCCAAGTGGTTTAAATCCTACTTAACTGCATCAGTAAATGAATAATTTCAACAGAAAACTAACCAACCATCATATCAATTTTGTAATAAAGATGTACGGACAATAAAATATTGCAAACGATGATACCTTTGTGAAGAACGGCTCCACTTACAGGAGCAAGACATTTTCACAACTAATCAGAAAGATATACAGTATATATATATATTTTTTTTACAATTTAAGATATAATCCTGAAACTGAATAAGGTAGAATCATTGAAAGTGAGTTGATCTTTATATTTTCCTATGATTAACATTCTCCACAAATTTGAAAGAATCTAATATGAAAATAAAGTTAATACACAGAACTAAAGATAAGTATGAATAGACATTGCTTTTGTACAGCAGTACCAGAATACAACCCATTGTGATGTCTTGAAAAAAGTAAATGTCAATTTGATCTACACTGAATGATGTGTTTATATTACAACTGCTCATTCTCGTAACATGTAGGAATGATGACAAGTAAACAATGAATGACATTGTTTTTAAACAGAAGCATTTATGCAAATACAGTATTACTTCTGACAAAACATTCTGCAACACTGATGTAAATTTGCTAAATCTTTTAGTTCAGTGAAGAATTGAAGTATTGAATAGGAGAATGGTTTTGGAATATTCATGACTAGATAGAGTGCCTCTTGTAAAAGTTCAAACTAAAATTTGATATTTTGACTGTAGCTAAAAATCCAGCTTCATATACAGTACACATATGTGCATTTCACAAACCTAAAAGCAATAAATAAAGAGTTGTGGATAACTATTACCATTCTCAAAGATGAAGTTCACTGTGTATTCCCCAAAAAAGACTAAAAATAATTAAAAGTGAGATACCATTCTTGAGCATTTCAATCAAATGAACCTTATCTGTTATGAGGTTCATGCTAAAGATCAGTGAAAAAAATAAATCACTTTGAGCAGAGGAATCCTATGATAAGAAATAAAATATGCAAAATCTGTGTATACACAGCTCACTTGTTTACCTATCTAGAATTTAATGAAATAAGACCCTAGACCTGTTCACTAGTGGTTTGCTCCTGGTTTGAGTGAGCTAGCACATAACAGTATAGTGCCCTATCATGTTAAACAGTGAAAGCATAACAAACTAAAATTTATATCTTTACAATGTCAAACAATGAAAGCATGACTATATAAACTTTTTACATTTGATTACAGAGCAAATCTATGGAAAAATTATTTCATACAATGCTGGACTAATTTCATTACATATATAGCAGTATTTTCATGGTATTCTATGGAATACAGACACATCCCACAGGACATTATACATTTCTTAGTCTTTATTGGGGTCAACTTTATATACACCTTGCCATTGATACATTTGGAGTGTAGAGACTTGCATTGGCTTTAACATAAAAGTAACTACCCATTTTCTTGAAACTATAATGAAGCATAACTTTTATATTTTCTTGAAATCAAATGTTATTTACCATTTAATTTGAAATAATAAGAAATGTAAAATACCATCCTTGATAACTATTACAAGTCTCCAAGTTTGAAAGATTCTTTGAAGAATTTGCACCTTTTTATGCAAAGCAACAGCTATGGTGACAGTTGTAATAATAAGTCTACGCTAATTTCACTTTAGAGTACAATACTTCCTGAGAGCATGTATAGAAGAAACGCCCTATGCAAACACAAAGTAAATATTTACAAACAGCCTAGACCCAATAGAAACAGTATGTAAATACTTATAAACATTAAAGGTAAGTACAATTGAAAACTAATTTAAGCTCTTATTCACCATCTTTTGATGTTATAATACATTCTTGGGATTCTTGTGTTAGAGAACATATTTCATAACTTGTGGAAAAGTCAAGGGAATTTATGAAATAATCTACCCACTAACCTTTCTGCCACTTTTGTGTTCCTAAGCAAAATCCCGCTAAACTGTACACTGAGTTTTGTCCAGGAGATGCACTCAAACCAACAGACACATGCAGATAAAAAAGCTTAATAACTACTAGCTTAGTACCATCACTGCAAATTTCAAACTCACATGCTAATATATTTTATCTGTTTCAGTCACCAAGAATACCAATCCTTGAGGGACTGACTCACTGATAGAATAAAAAATTTTGATTAGCACAAACTGATAATTTTTTCTCATTATTTCAAAAAGACTTTTCTTTTTAGATAATTTTTATCCAAAGAAAATTGTTAAGTTCACAGGTTGTGTGCATCAACTGTTAGCTTCCTGTCATTGTTCTTATTCACCTGAGTACATCTAACGAATAAAACCCTAAGTTAAGGTGAAGAGGCACTTCCATAGTAAACTTGACAAAAAATTCTCTAGAGAACTCTATGCAATATAATTTTCCACAATGTAGGAACAGAAAACTGCTAATTGCCTAAAAATTTTCAAGGCAGTACAAAGAACCTAATAACTTTCTAACAATTTTTATGATTTATACAGTGACTGGACATGATTGACAGCACCAGCAATTTTCACATTCATGCTTTTACCTTACAGACTTGAGTTATAGAGACAAACTTAAATGTTGATAAATAAATACTCTTACTACTATTTTATAAAACACTGAAATTGTACCATTATACATCTTAGAGTGAGCAGCAATAAGACAACCATTACTCAGCAAATTCACATATACGTGTTAGTCCGCCGTAAACACACAACGGAGTCTTCACATTTACACATTCAGACATTATATAAACACTATGGACTCTGTTGATGAATCAGTAAATTTTCCAGCTCATCGGCCGACCTTAGCAGGAAGGCGTAGACTCGCAGCTGCCTGTGATGAGTTGTCGTACTGCTGCGACCTCAACTGCATTGGAGCTGGCCGTGTTGGCTTGGCTGTTCCCTTAACGCTCAGGTCTGTTGGTCCTGTGGGTAATTAGCTACAATTACAAATATGAATGAAGGGTGATTATAGAGTACCTGGTACTGTAGTCTGATTACATTACAGTACAGTACTTTACTTTTGTTTAAAATGATTTGGTTACTGGTAAATAGTTTTTTATACAGTACAGTAAGTACAGTACAGTATGCTATAACGAACGGATTCTACTACGAATATTCCTATAACGAACGGTTTTACCGATAAAATTGAGAATGCTATAACGAATCAAACTCCTACAATGAACATTATTATTATTATTATTTTGTTTTTTTTACTAATTTATTGTTTTTTTATTACAAGTATTAATGATATTCTTTATTTCAGGAGTTTAAAAGCATATTTATGCACTTTTATTAAAATTTTTACAATTTTATATTATATTTTTCAGTGTTAAGTGGTTGTATTTGGGGGCCTGGAACGGATTAATTATATCTAATTTAGAATGCTAAGTAAATAAGGTTCTAGAACCAATTAGATTCGTTATAGCATACCCCACTGTATTCTTATAGATAACTTATTTAACTATCTTATACAGTATAGTACACCGGTATCTATTATTCGAGAATTCACTTCTGTGAAGTACTTTCACCATCATGCAGACACTACATTTAAAAAAAAACCTTTTTGTTTCTTAGTAAACTTTGAATCCATCTAGAAACATAAAACGCTGAGGTGACTGACAAGTACAGTAACTGAACTATACTGTGCAGTACTGTATAGTATAAGCAATTCCAAAGGGTTATGATTCTCAGAAACAATAATGTTTTAAGGCCATTAATAAGAGATGAAAGTACTGTACAATACTGTAATATAAAATAGGAATATTTTTTTATTGTAATACATGTGAGAGATGAACCAGCTTGTTAAATACCTGTACAGTACTGGGACACTGAGTGAGGGAGAGAAAACAAAACAACAATACAAACAAATTCACTAATTATTATTAATATGGTTGGTAAATATTATTAATACTATGGAAGGACATTATACAGGTACAATCATGGTCAAAGTAGTGATACTGAACCATATGTTACCAGAAGCCAGAAATGAATAAACTGAACTACCCAAGAATTGGATTCCGGGCCTGTCTTGATCGGATGCACCATAACACTGACCCCTGCTCTTTATACAACAGTACTGTACTGTACTGACACGATTAGTCTCTCACAACACAACAAATACTGCATATACTATTAGACAATCAATAAAACCATGTTTATGATGACAGTCACATAACTTACCATTTGCTAACATGGGGGCAGAGGTAGTGGCCAGGAGAGGAGTAAGACCTGGTTGAGTGTGTACCGTCGACCCAGTCAGTGAGGTCACTTTTGGAACTTTGTTGGAATGATGCCTGGAACATGGAGGACCCATTCATAACTTTGGAGTCTGTCATGGGTCGCTCCAGGGCCTTGCCAAGGGCAGATACGTGTGGTGCATTGGACTCTGTCTTGACCACTGTGTCCACCAAGGATAAGGGTTTTTCTGGTCCCACCTGTAATACAAGAATACAAACATGTAAACCTGTGCAGATACTCTACTGTATATGTAAAATAAAAACAGCTATTGGTCATCACGAATTAATTCACAATACTTTTGATTTGCAAAGTAATAGGCTTACTTAGTTCTTTTTCAGTTTTCATAATGTTCATTCCCATATATCTTAGGTTCATTAAGTACTGAGTAATGTAAGAAGCTGTAAAATCAATTATTGTAAATGGAAATTGTATGTAAGGCCTCTCACTCATTGTTAATACATTACTGAGTGGTTAATGAGTAAGAGGACTACCCTAGTCTTTGTGACAAACTGTATTACACTAGATTAAGAAAGAAATTAAATTAAAATAATAAAATCAATCACATTTTTTAAACTTTATCAAATAACTATTAATGGTTACAAATAAATGGAAGGACGAAGGTGAAGGGAGGGCGGGGTAGCCAAGACGGAGCTGAAGGAGGGAGGGGAGTGACGAGCTGAAGGAGGGAGGGGAAGCCAAGACGGAGCTGATGAGGGGGGAGGCAAAGACGAGCTGAAGGAGGGGCGGGTAGCCAAGACGGAGCTGGAGGAGGGGAGGGGTAGCCAAGACGGAGCTGAAGGAGGGGAGGTAGCCAAGACGGAGCTGAAGGAGGAGGGTGCCAAGACGGAGCTGAAGGCGGGGAGGGGTAGCCAAGACGGAGTTGAAGGAGGGGCGGGGTAGCCAAGACGGAGCTGAAGGAGGGGTGGGGTAGCCAAGACGGAGCTGAGGGAGGGGCGGGGTAGCCAAGGGTGTTGGTTGGCTTCACTTGACTACTACACAGACTGATGGCTCACTTCAGTACTTGGCGTTTTATAATACACTGGATTTGTAATTTCCGTGAACAAAAAGAACCAAAAGGCATAGTAAGTCACCCTCCCCCCCCCAGTCCCTGTCTTCTCAGAGTTTTCTTCCACATCAACTAGCACTGTAAAAGAGCCTGATAGTGCTTATGACAACTAATGTGAACAGCTGTGAGACCTAAGTGGCAGGAACATATAGAGGGTGAATACCTCTCCACCACTTCTTTGTCAAAAGACTATTCTGTATACAGTATGGGGTTGAGGGAAGTGGTACAATATACTGTACTGTACTAAAGTAAGTAAAAAACTGTTTACAGGTTGGATCCGCTTTAAGGTCCGGAGTATTGGCAGCTTCGATGGTTCAGAATGGTGTTTGAATCTGGCCTATACTATACAATTTTCTCTTTGCCTTTTCTGCTAATCTACTTATTTCTGTGTCACTGCTATAGCACTAAGACTTTGTCATAAAGAGGTCTAGTAAGCCTGGGCTAGATATATGCTGATGTAAGTTGTATTGGCAGCAGTAATAGTACATTTTAAGCATTATTTTGCCATATTTTAACCTCTGCTTCGATGTTTCTTGCTTAGCTCGGAACCGGTCTGGTCCCAAGCTTCCCGGATTAGCGAGGTCCAACCTGTATAGGAAAAACTATTTTGCCAAAGCACTTGGTCACTATTCTGTATAAGTTGGAAAGGGGAGGAGGGGCCCAAACTAGAAAATGGGACATTACCGTATTTGGTTTCCATCCACTTATACACTTACTGTATCTGTTTACTTTTTGTAATGGTCATGTTGCATGTACTGTACAAAGATCCTTTCATAACTTATATAATATTTAGACTTACAGTAGTTAGTGAATATCTACTTGTGTATACTCGAGTCAATTAAGTTGAAATTCTCCCCGACTATGGCTAAACAGAGCCACAGAGTAGAAAGAATTTAGCCAACTCAGTCTCAAACTAGGTCTAACGTGATTGGACGAGCCAGGTCATGTGACATTGCAATGCCGTCTTGCACCCTTGCTTTGTCACCAAGTATCGATAGAGAAACATACAGTACTGTACTTGTTTCAGGAGACACTTTGCTTATAACTCCTTCATTACAGGGACATAACTTTTAACAGTTATTACTTACACCAAACGATTTTATACAGCTCAGAAGCGATTCCATACACAAGGGGTTAATGTCATGTTTTTGTAGTACCTGTTTGTGTTAGGCCGTGATATGGGGAAAGAGGTAGCAGTACATAAGGAAATGAATGATAAACAATAAAAATATGTAAGATTGGTGGCCTCAGACTTTGAGAGAGGTAAGATCAATGGCTGCATGAACCTTACAAGCAGTGGGTGACCTACAGGTGAGATGTAAAGTGAGAGGAAACTTACCGGTGTGGGAGGCTGTGGGTTAAGGGGATTGGGCTGGGCTATGGGTTCCAAGCCCAGCCTCATTCTCTTGGCATTCTGGGCTTCATTTTCACAGGCATTGGCCAAACTGCTCTGCCTGGATGCTGGTGAGGTGAGGCGGTGTGGGACGAGATGGCTGTCAGGAGAGAGAGACACATTCATGGCAACAACAACATAAAAATCGATACAATATACAGTACAATATACAAAAAACATATTTGTCATGAATACACAATCTCTCTTTATCCTCCAACACTTCCCTTATCCTCCAACACTTCCCTTATCCTCCAACACTTCCCTTATCCTCCAACACTCCATATCCTCCAACACTTCCCTTTCCTCCAACACTTCCTTATCCTCCAACACTTCATCCGCCAACACTTCCTTATCCTCCAACACTTCCCATATCCTCCAACACTTCCCTTATCCTCCAACACTTTCCCTTATCCTCCAACACTTCCTCATCCTCCAACACTCTTATCCTCCAACACTTCCTCATCCTCCAACACTTCCTATCCTTGATGAATAAGGTTTCAGTGCTAAAGGGTAAATTTTTAGTTTAGTCAGGTAGGAATGTCTTAGGGTCAGGCAGGATGGGGTCTAGGGTCAGTAGGAGTGGGGTCTAGGGTCAGGTAGGAGTGGGGGTCTAGGGTCAGGTAGGAATGGGGTCTAGGTCAGGTAGGAATGGGGTCCAGTCAGTAGGAATGGGGTCTAGGGTCAGGTAGGAGTGGGGTCTAGGGTCAGGTAGGAGTGGGGTCTAGGGTCAGGTAGGAGTGGGGTCTAGGGTCAGGTAGGAATGGGGTCTAGTTAACCTACAAACACTCCTACGTAACTGTCCGTCTCCCTGTGTTCTCCCTCCCTCACAGTCCCCCATTCCTTCTCTCACCATCTCTCAGCGTCCCTCTCACCACTCACCACCCTCTTAGTGTCCGCCTCCCTCTCTCTCCTCTCACCACCTCTCAGCATCCCCCGCCCCTCCTCCTCAGCACCTCTTAGTGTCCTCCTCCCTCCCTCTCAGTCCCCCTTCTCTCCCTCACCACCTCTCAGCGTCCCTCCCACCTCTCCTCAGCGTCCTCCCTCCTCTCAGTCCTCTCCTCTCATCACTCAGCGTCCCTCCCACCTCTCAGCGTCCTCCCTCCTCTCAGTCCCCCTCTCTCCCTCTCTCATCACCTCAGCGTCCCCCTCCCACCTCTTAGCGTCCTCCTCCCTCCTCTCAGTCCCCCCTCTCTCCCTCTCATCACCTCTCAGCGTCCTCCTTCTCCTCACTTACCGTCTCCCATCCATTAGAGTCTCGAGTTCTCTTGTTTCGCCTGCAACTTTTGAGATAGGTGCGGATCCTCTTATGGTCCTGTCGGCGAACCTCGGGAACTGTCGTGCGCAGGCGTCGATGATAGCCTGGATCTTCTCCTTGGGCTGTTTACTGATGGGCACGATGCGGTCGAGGTTCTCATCCACGAACAACCGCACGAACATCTGTGACGGGAGAAAGATGGTGTTTAATATGGGCATCTCTGTATGTACATTAATGGTTCTCCTGTGGAATTTCTTTCTGCACAAAGACCCATGAACCCATGTCTGTGTATGTGGGTGGTTATTTCATGACGAGACTCACACCAGGGGTCACGTGGACACACACACACAGAGGCAATAACTTCTGTTTTTTTCCTCGCAAGGTTGTAGTGAACACAATCGTTTTTAACACCATGTCACTAGTAGCAATCTAGCCCTTTACCTCTGCCCACCAGCCCTCAACACGGGTCAGCCCCCCCCCCTCCCCCTTAGCCCAACCAAACTCGTTTACTCACATTAAAGGCTTTAAGTCGCTCTGGGTCGTACTGGGCGTCGATTTTGTCATCGTCGTTGTCGTCGTCGGCATCGTCGTCCCTATCGTCCTTGTTGCCGTTACTGGAGGTGTCCTCGGCGTTGCTGGCAGTGTCCAGGGGAGTGGCGGTGGCACGTCACCCTGGAAGGCGACGCACACGGGCTCTGACACACACAAAACAACACAGGTTAATTTGCTGTGTGGTGCTGCGTCGTGTCGGCTGTGACGCAGACTTTTCTTGCAACACACTTATAATTACATAAAGCTATATAACGTATCTTAGTATATTATATCCATTAATATGGGTGAATATAAAATGAACACACACACACACACACACACACACACACACACACACACACACACACACACACACACACACACACACACAGTCAATCTTACTTTTGCACTATGTTGAAACGCCCTGTAGTTTGAGCTTCTCCCCACCTAGTTATTATATATCATATTTGTATCACTTATGTTACTTGTATATTATTTGTAAATCAAGAGACCCATTCCCCAATTATGTAACTGTATATTTCAGCCTTCCGGCTGCCATGCTCTTTAATAAAACGTTAATTATTATTATTATTATTATTATTATTATACACACAGACTAAGCATACTTACACAAATATACTAATAAACAGACATAGTAACAGACATTTAAAGGAGTCAAGGCTTACCCTTCTCTGCACGTCGTTCCGGGAGAGGCCTAGAGGCTGCTGCTGGTAGGGCGTCCACTCCGTCGGATTCCTCACCTCAAGTTTCCGCTCCATCTCAGCTGAAGCGAATGACAGAAAACGGGTTTATAGCGCCTTCTATACATAGGGATAACTTAGCTCTTTCAACTTATGTCTATGGGAATTACTCATAGCTAAATTCATGTAAAAACGAATAACAAGCGTACCATAAAATGTGTGTGTGTGTGTGTGTGTGTGTGTGTGTGTGTGTGTGTGTGTGTGTGTGTGTGTGTGTGTCATCCCCCCACCTTAGTGAACAGGTGTGACCTTGACCTTTGAGTAACTTCTTCGATAATTGAATTTGTTGTTTCTTGGCCAACAACATCTGCCAAGTTTTAGGAGTGACGCTTAATATTTATTCAGGATCTTCTCTCATAACCCTTCCCACACACACACACACACACACACACACACACACACACACACACACACACACACACACACCTTCAATGTAAACAAAGGGTAAGTGAATATATCCAGCAGAGGGTAAGGTAGAGTCACACAGACGAACTGTTATGTAGTAGTCTGAATGAGCCAGTACTAGTGGGTCCTGGCGAACAGTGGTGTATAAGGGCATTCCACGTAGATTAAGGGACGAGGGGGGATATTAACTTATAAAGGTATCGGGACGTCCTCCTAACCTAACCTAATCTATCGACCAGCCCAACTAACCTAATCTAATCTAACTGACCCAGCCCAACTTAACCTAATCTAATCTAACTCGACCCAGCCCAACTTAACCTAACTCGACCCAGCCCAACTTAACTATCTAATCTAACTCGACCCAGCCCAACTTAACCTAATCTAATATCATATAATTAGTGTCACCATCACGTCATTAACATCAGAGTTCCTTTGTAGCAGCAGGGCGAAATGTGTTTGTTTTTTGGCAGGTAGGCGGCAGGTGAGAGAGAGAGAGAGAGAGAGAGAGAGAGAGAGAGAGGAAAACTTAAGCTCATAACATAATGAATTGTACATAATACAAATAAAAAGGAAGGAGGTGATAAGGAAGGGAGAAAAGAAAGAGGGAAGAGACAGGAAAGAAAGAGAAGGAAAAAGGAGAAGAGAAAAAAATACCGTGAAGGATGGAAGGTAGAAAGAAGAAATGGAGAAGGAGGGGAAGGGAAAGAAGGAAATGGGTTGGTGGGTAAAGTAGGGAGATGGGAGAGGGGAGGTGTGGCAGAGCTTCCCCGGAGACCCACCAGAGGACAGCACAGGGGAAGCTCAGCCCCCGTCGTCATTTTTTTCTCTAGGATGAACTAGGACACCGTGAGACAATGTGTGTGTGGTGTGTGTGTGTGTGTGTGTGTGTGTGTGTGTGTGTGTGTGTGTGTGTCTGTGTGTGTGTGTGTGTGTGTGTGCAATATTAAGTTAAACACCAATCAGGTCGTCCAGGTAATCACTTCTCCTTCTGTCAGACACAAATACAAGTTTAGTTTTTCCTTTTAAGTTCTAAACCTGAGCGACATTCATTCTTATTGCCGATGAAGCACCATTCACTAGGTCTCTCTCTCTCTCTGTCTCTCTCTAACACACAGCTCGTTATACCCGACTTTGTTCATTTGGGTCAAACAACATACGCCGGTAGTCGACCCACACCATCCTGGGACTAAAACCCACACACGCACATACCCCCCTTTGAGTTAACCTATTGTTATTTCTCTATAAAAAAGACAGACAGACACAGACACGCACAAGACAGACAGACACAGACACGCACACACAGAGAGATAAGGTTTGTATAGCCACATTTAATAATCTTAGTTGATGACAAGAAGGGCGTCGACATTACGCTGTGACTCTACTGCAGGTAACGGAGAGTTCCCTTACAGTCAACAAGGGAAACTAGGTCACAGCTCTTAATTGGTCCCACATCTTATTGGCCCTGCATTTAATGGCCCCGCATCTAATTGGCCCTGCATCTAATTGGCCCCGCATTTAATTGGCCCTGCATCTAATTGGCCCCGCATCTAATTAGCCCCGCATCTAATTGGTCCCGCATCTAATTGGCCCTGCATCTAATTGGCCCCGCATTTAATTGGCCCTGCATCTAATTGGCCCCGCATTTAATTGGCCCCCATCTAATGGCCCCGCATCTAATTGGCCCTGCATCTAATTGGCTCCCCATCTAATGGCCCCGCATCTAATTGGCCCCTGCATCTAATTGGCCCCGCATCTAATAGGCCCTGCATCTAATTGGCCCCTGCATCTAATTGGCCCTGCATCTAATTGGCCCCACAATAAACTGGTGAGTATTAGTGGGTTAAAAGCTAGGGCCCCAGTTGTGTGACCCCAAGGTGTACTGTTCCTTAATCCAACTTTATGGGCCCCCGTCCTAATGGGTTCATGTCATAGGTGGGCCCCTGTCCTAGTGAACACACGGACGGAGGGAGCGTGGGGGGAGGGAGGGAGGGAGGAGGGACGGAGGGGAGGGAAGAGGGAGGGAGGGAGGGAGGAGGGAGGGAGGGAGGGAGGGAGGGAGGGAGGGAGGGAGGGAGGAGGGAGGGAGGGAGGGAGGAGGGGGAGGGAGGGAGGGGGAGGGAGGGACGGTAGGAGGGACGGAGGGAGGGAGGGGAGGGACGGAGGGAGGGAGGAGGGAGGGAGGGAGGGAGGGACGGAGGGAGGGAGGGAGGAGGGAGGGAGGGAGGGAGGAGGGAGGGAGGGACGAGGGACGAGGGACGGAGGGAGGGGAGGGGAGGAGGGAGGGAGGGAGGGACGGAGGGAGGGAGGGAGGGACGAGGGAGGAGGGAGGGGACGGAGGGAGGGAGGGAGGGACGGAGGGAGGGAGGGAGGGACGGAGGAGGAGGGAGGGACGGAGGGAGGGACGGAGGGAGGGGAGGAGGGAGGGGAGGGAGGACGGAGGGACGGAGGGGAGGGAGGGAGGGAGGGACGGAGGGAGGGAGGGACGGAGGGAGGGAGGGAGGGAGGAGGAGGGACGGAGGGAGGGAGGGAGGGAGGGACGGAGGGAGGGAGGGAGGGACGGAGGAGGGGAGGGGGAGGGAGGGAGGGGAGGGACGTATTAACACCCTCTAGACTGCACAAGACACCTGCAGTAAGTTAGGCGGGAGTCGAGGCCACGATATTAAATCATAACATTTTCCTCAGACACAAATGAAATACTGGGGAGATGTTCTGACAGCAGTGGTGGGGAGAGGGAGAGGAGAGACTTGGAGGTGAGGGAGAAATGATGGGAGGAAGTGTAAAGAAGAGGGGAGGTAGGAGGGGAGGTAAGATGAGGGAAATGAGATGGTGGGGAATGTTCATCAAGGGGGAAGAGAGGGAGATGAGGAACGAGTGTGTGTGTGTGGGTGGGGAGGGGGGGGGGGGGAGAGAGAGAGAGGAGAGGGAGAGAGAGAGAGAGAGAGAGAGAGAGAGAGAGAGATGGAAGGTGCCTGGGTTGAGGGGAAGAGGGAGGAGGAAGACAGATAGTGAGGGGATTAACCCGGGTGGGGAGTGAGGGAGGAAGTAAACAAGGAGACACACACACACAAGGGTGTTCCCGACCACACACACACACACACACACAACACACACACACACACACACAGACATGAGTGGACAGATCCTCTTCAAACTTGTACCACCTGATACAGGTGAAGCCTGGCCACTAAATGACTCGGGGGGAGAAGGTGAGGGGGAAGGGGGATGGCGAGGGGTGAGGGGGAGGGGTAGGAGGAGGGAGGGGGGGGAGGAGGTTAGGTTAGAATTGAGGTGAAATGTTTTGAGAGGAGAGAAAGAGGGGAGGGAAGGGGAGACGAGTTGATGGGAGGGGAGATAGTGTATATAGAGGGAGGGAGGGAGGGAAAAGATGGAGAGGGATATGAGAAGAGGAAATATGAGAGGGTAGGTGAGGGAAAGGAAGGAAGTGAGAGGAATGAGGGTAGGGGAAGTAGGGATGAGAGGGGTAAAATGAGGGAATGAGAGGGATGAGGGGAATCAGGTACACGGAAGACAGACCTGATAAATATGGGAAGAAAAGCAGATTACGGTTGGTGGAGGCTCAGCCCGATTATGTAATTACGGTTGAGGAGGGAGGGAGGAGGGAGAAAGTTAGGGGAAGAGACGAGGGGTGGAGGGAGGATAATACGAGGGAAGAGGGAGTTGAGGGAAGGTGTGAGGTATAGTGAGGGGAGGGACGAGGGAGGAAGAGACAGGGAGGAGGAGAGGGAAAGGATGATAAAGAAGAGAAGGGAGGAGGAGGAGGAGGAGGAGGGAGGATGAAGAAGAAGATAGACAAAGATGGAGAAGGAAGAGGAGAAGAGAAGAGAGAAAAGAGGAAGGAAGAAAGAAGAGGAGGGAGAAAGAAAGAGGAATGGAAAAGTATAAGAGGAAGAGAAGAGGAGAGGAGAGAGGAGGAGGCCATGAAAGGAGAAGGTTGACCTGGTCGTTTCTAAGTTCGTCACTTTTCTGAGAATGCCACAGCCAGCCTCCTGTCCCTGTCCAACCAGCGAGGGAAGGGGAGAAACCATCCAGGAAAGGGGGTTGGGATGGGAGGGAGTGCGGGTAAATCTAGTGAGGGAGAGTGGGGAGAGGTGGGCAGGTTGCAGTGCGTGACCTGTGTACAGGGGAAGGGAGGAAGGGGGCGGTAGTCCTCCTTCACCAGATCGCAGCCTTGGCCACACCACCTTTCCCCTCCTCCTCTTCCTCCTGTTACTGCTGCTGGTGGTGGGGCCTCGACACACCTACACACACCTCCCATCACAAACCCCACATGTTTGTTTGTCCCCTTACACACACCTGTAACACCTACACTCCGAAACTGGTGTGTTGTTCCATCCTATACACCTGATGTCGTGTTTATATCCCACACCTGCTGTTGACCCATACACCTGCATGTTCCTACTCCACACCTGCTGCTGACCCATACACCTGCATGTTCCTACTCCACACCTGCTGCACTGCTACACCTGCATGTTCCTACCCACCTGCTGACCCATACACCTGCATGTTCCTACTCCACACCTGCTGCTGACCCATACACCTGAATCTTAACCAAAACACACTCTCCAACACTACGCATATACTTCACTACCAACCCCAC